GGAGGGGGGGGAGGGGTTGGGGGGAAGACATGAGGGATGAGAAGGAGAACGCAAGAGGAGGCAGAGGGATGGGAGAAGGGAGCGAGGACGAGGCTCGCGAAGTGGTAAAAAAAAGAAAAAAAAAAACCGAGGGTGAGGCTCGCCAAGTGGTACAGGCTGGCGGCAGATCGCGGCGAAGTGCTCTCTCCTCAGTCCTCTTGTTTTTTTTTTTATTTTTATTTTTTTTCGGGACCTCGGTCCTCTTGGTCCCCATCAGGCACGGACGGTGCCTTGTTTTTTCTTCGTTTTCCGTGTTTTTTGGGCCGCTGTTTTCCCTCTCTTTTTTTTTTTCTGTGCTTTTCATTTTTACCGAAACGGGAACAGGAGCTAAAATTATTGTGTTGCGGATTTGAACTCCTGACCTGTCCGATCAATACTCACTTGTGTAGTAAATAGCGACAGGCAGGGACTTTGTCTTTTCTCTTTCTTATTCTTATTATTCTTATTTTTTCTGTTTTTCGTTTTTGCGGCTCGCGGTGGGTGGTCCCGCCCTCGTGTCATGCGAACGTCAAGGGCGCGGTCTCGGCCTTTTTTTTTTTTTTTTTGGGAAAACGCGCGGTCTCGTTTCGCTTCGCCTCGCTTCGTTTGAGAAATGGAAATGAGATGGAGTACACAAATAGATCGGCCTGAAACGGCGGCCTGGAAGAAGGAAAGCAGGATTTGCGCCATTGCCGACAATCGCGCGCGTGAAGACGGGGAGGGTCGGGGAGGGGTGTCTTCCCTCTACGCGTTGCGGGGCGGTCAGCCATCTCTTCTCTCAGGTATGGCTGCCTACTCTCTCTCTCTCTCTCTCTCTCGCTCGCTCGCTCGGTCTCTTTCTCTCTCTCTCTCTGGTTCTCTCTCTCTCAATTTGTCTGTGGTTTCCTTTTTCATGCATTTTTCTGATTTGCCCTCGCATTACTCTTGTTTGCTCTCTGTTTGCGCGTCTTCCCCCCTCCCCCCCCCTCTGTGTGTGTGTGTGTGTGTGTGTGTGTGTGTGTGTGTGTATGTGTGTGTGTGTGTGACTATCTCTATCCCTGTCTGTGGTTTCTCTCTCATTGCTCTTGTTCGGGGCTCTGTGTGCGTCCGTCTCTCTCTCTCTCTCTCTCTCTCTCTCTCTCTCTCTCTCTCTCTCTCTCTCTCTCTCTCTCTGATTTTCCTCTTAAGCCCCTGCGTGCGCCTGCACGTGCGGGTGCGCACATGTGTGTGTGTGTGCCGGGCGATGTGCGACGACGGATTGTCGGTGCAATGTTTGGGCGTGGGTGCGTGCGCGCGTGCGTGTCTGAGTGTGCGTGCACGAGGGTGTGCGCGTGGTTGTGCGGCTGTGTGTGTGTGTGTGTGTGTGTGTGTGTGTGTGGTGTGTGTGTGTGTGCTGCTATAGTCATATAAATGTGCTTGCCAAAGGAAGCGGCGGTATTCGTTCTTATACTTTCGATCGATACTGACGATCCGACTTCGTCTTTGTTTGGTTGTTTACTCGATTTGTTGCTTGCCAATGGAGTGTACCCCTTACTCCTTACCCCTCTTAAGTGATGCGATGGGCGATTAGTATCAACTTTTCTTCCTCTTCTTCTTCTTCTTCTTCTTCTTCTTCTTCTTCTTCTTTGTGTGGGATCGTTATGTGTTGCGTGCTCATGTGTCTTGTGTGTCGGCGCCTTCTTCTATTTCTTCTTCTCTTCTTCGATTTGTTCTTCCACTTCTTCTTTTCCCTTCTCTTCGGGCACTTGTACGTTCCGTCATCTTTATTTTTTCAAGAACTTCCTGACGATCTTCGTTGGGGCTCTTGTCCTCCATTTGTTGATCTCCTGACGGCGACGTCTTCTTCTTCTTCTTCTTCTTGTGTGTGTGTGTGTGTGTTGTGTGTGTGTGTGTGTGTGTGTGTGTGTGTTTTGTCTGTGTGTGTGTGTGTGTGTGCTTCTTCTTCTTCTTTCTGTTTGTGTTGTGTTGTGTTTGCGCGCGCGCGTTGTCTGTGCGTGTGTGCTTTGTGTCGGTTCCTTCTGCTTCCTGGTGTGTGCGTGTGTTGTGTCCTGGTGCCTTTCTTCGTCTTCTTCCTATTTTTCTTTGTGTGTCGTTTCTGTTGTGTGTGCGACGTGCGTGTATTTTGTGTGCTGCCGGTCCTGTGTGTCGGATGGCAATGACAAGGCTAGAGCGGCCCTCTGTGCTAAAGGAGGTACTAGCTTCTTCCCCCGAGTACAACGCACGGTCATTATAGCTGTATTTGGCCTACATGTCAGTCTAAATACAGCGATAATGTCCGTGGGTTGTATTCGGCGGAAGAAGGTAGGTGCGGTAGATGCAGGAGTATGGATCGGCCTGTGATAAGGTCTGGAGCGCAGCCGAGCGAAACGCGTCAGGGAATGTGCGCGTTTGTGAGCTATGTCTGTGCCCATGATGCTACGGTCTTCCCGCCAAACAAAACGCACTCTGATAATGAACGTATACGAGCCTGACGTTCCGGTCAGGTTCAGCCATAATGGGGCTCTGCTGCGTTGTGCTCGGGGGAAGAGGGTATGGTAGTACTGTGATGTTCATGTATTTGCTTGTGGACGGAGTCGTAGCGATCGACTGGTACAGGCTGAATGTGTACAAGCCAACTTTCCGGTCCGGTACAGGCTATAATACATCAATTTCAATTCATTTCTGCTGCTTCATTGTGTGTGCGTTAGTAATGTATGCCGCAAGCTCAGTTGGATTATATGGAAATGAGAGTCATTATGTATACAAACCAACTTTCCGGTTCGGTACAGCCGTAATGGTGCAAAAGAGAGCCGTAAGTCCGTTGATAAGAGTTTTAAGTCCTAGAGCGCAGCCGGACAAAAGGCGTCGGGGAATGTGCAAAAGAGTTTCTCAGCTTTGTTATGTGCGAGTGGGATGCGTGAAGTGACATCTGTCTCTTATACACATCTAGATGTGTATAAGAGACAGCTCTCTCTCTCTCTCTCTCTCTCTCTCTCTCTCTCTCTCTCTCTCCGGAACTTTATCTTACTTTCTTTTTCTTTTTTTTGTTTTTAGAAACTGGCATCTGTGATTTTTTTTTTTTGCTTCTAAAAACAAAAGCATGGATTTGGAAGTGACCGATACTTCTTTTCCCTAACCCCCAAGACCTAAGGCACGTTAATGACCGTGTCGGTTTTTTTTTCAGCTGGGCACAGCGAGCCCTGGAGGTGCTGCACTGCGAGCCAAACTTTTTTGAACCGCCAGCGGTGAAACATCAATGAGAGGCTGGGTGGCCTGTCCAGCCTTGGTACCTATACCTGCTATTCAGTCCGAGTCACCCTCCAAAATGGTAGGGTGATAGCTCTGAGTGATTTGCACTGAGGTAGGATAGTGGGGATAGGGGGTGCGCTAGGAGTATTGACGAGAGGATGGGTTGAGAGGTAGCCTCATAATTGGCAGGGTAACCAATGGCTGACTGAGACTGCAACCAGCATGTGTTGGGAAACTGACCTCTACAACAACCTGGGCTTTTTCGGGGAAAAAAAAGAAGGAAAAAGAGATGAGGCCCGGGACCTCACAATTCAACCTGGAGTACTGGGGCCGCCACCCAGCTTTGGCTAGTGCTGGAAAGCAGGCCCAGCGTCCCGTTGCCCAAAGGGGGCTCAAAAGGTGAGCACCTGGCTCCAAAATTGAACTTGATGCTCAAAAGGTGAGCACTTCATAGGGCTAACTTGGGCCCCCATAGGTTTGGACCTGCATAAGGTTCGAAGCCCCATAGGTTTGGACGCATAACGTTTGAACCCCCATAGGTTTGGACGTCCATAGGCTACATAATCTAGTCCAGGGGTTAGTGATCCTCTGATAGTTCAGGGGCTGGACAGGATGAGAAAAAAAAAATCGCATCTGCAGTGGTAACACCTGCTACACCCAGTCCCAATGCCCAACCTGCATCTATACCCAGACCATGTCCATGGTAAGGTAATTGCCTACTTTTGCCCGGGTACCCAGTCGAACAGGCACTTGGTTGGGGAGCACAAAATTATGCTTATACCACCAGTACTTCCTAGAGACGTGCCCGTTAACATGCCACGATTTTAGGAAACGTACGGGCTACCACAGGAGCACCCAAATTCATCCGACTAGAAACGTTTCTACTGTTTGTTTTTTCCGCGGCTGTTAGCTGGGCCAAGTACTTGTTTCAAATCTGGGTTGAAGCAGGGGGTCTTCGGTTTCTCCCCCGCCTTAGGGATTTCGAACTTTTGGAACTGGTTCTTGGGTTGAAGCAGGGTGCTGTTTTAATTAGTCTTACGTACGAGACTAAGTCTTACGTACGAGACTATGTTTCAAATCTGGGCCTGTTTTTTGACGGGTCTCCTTTTGTAGTTTTGTAACGGCTGGTGTGCTACCGACCGTATTTGGTGCGGTTTGCTGGCGAGGTTGAGTATCATTGCTTGGACTTGGCCTTTATCAGGTTTAGGTGCTGATGCGACGTTTTCAAGGGATATTACTTTCTAGAAGCTATGTCACAGTTGTTTTTGGACTACGACTTTGACCTTGGTTAAAGTGGTGGCATCTTGATGAATCGATCCGGTAGCAGATTTTCTGAAGTAGTATATAGCCATACGACGTCATGTCCTTGTTACCGATGAAGACCCCTGATGATCCTGGTTGGCGGCCAGATGAAACCGGTAGGGTCAAATGCCATGTCGTGCTTCATGTTTACATATTTTTAATTCAAAGTCGTGTTCGGGACATGGTTGTCGTGTTCTACCCTACTGGTTCTACTCTTTCCCTCTACCATCGTCGTCTAACCTTCCTCTTCTACGTCATATGTTGTTTGATTCACTGTCGTTTGTCTCAGTTAGTCATGTCTGGATTATTAACCTGGTCGTAGCCCTGCTTGACAACTTTCACGCACGAAGGAATCAGCGTAGGAATTATACTACAGTTGAATGACTTCGCACTTACGATGGCTTCCAACAATCAGAATGGAGACGCAAGGACATGCTATAATTGTAATCAACATCATTATATCTCTCGCTATTGCCCATATCCGGATCGTAGGTTTAATGGTCAACCCACTAACAGTACGGCTATTGTCCCTGCACATACTCCTCTTCTCACCCTACCTCCGAGTAATAATTCCAATATAGGAACCGTAGTCCCTTCTTTTTCTGGGTACTCGGGGGGTAATGGTTGGTTTGGGAAACGAGTCAGCACATTAGAAGACAAGGTGGCTAGGATTTGTGAGAAGCACGAGGCGGATGAAGCGAAGGAAAAAGCAGCCCGTGAGGAGGAAGAACGGAAGAAACGGGAGCGAGAAGAAGAAGATAGGAGGCAACGTGAAAAGAAAGATCGAGAAGATTTCCAGTCGCAGATGAAGCAAGAGCTAAATGAGAACCTGGATAAGGTGTACAAGGCTATTGATGGAAAGAGGAATGGTGATAGTGAGGAGGTGGCGAAGCTGAAAGCTACTATCAATGACCTGCAACGAAGGATGAACGGTGTTAGTGCATCAACGGAGGTCACCAAGCCTGTTTCGGAGGCAGAAGAATTGGCACGATTAAGACGAGAACAAGTGGAGATAAAGACAGCGTCAGATAAAAGACAGTCGGCTCTTAAGGATGTTGTGCTGGCCCTGCAGAGACAGTGTGAGGAGGCGGAAGTGAACGCTGAAGCTTGGAAAAATGAACCGCTTCGACCCGGTAATAAATGGGAAAGCCTTGCTCTTGGACCTACACCGACAACTCAAGTGCGGTTTTGGGCGCGTACGACACATGTTGAAACTCCGAAGAGACAAGTGGAGGTTGATCTGAAAGGTATTGTCGAGCGACATCAAATGGAGGTGAAAGCTTTGCAAGATTTGCCGATCAAGGAAATGAAGGCGCGTAGGGATTCGGAGGATGAAGTACTAAGGCTCAAAGACGAGTTGGCCAAGTTGGCAATGGAAAAGAGAACGGGTGCACGGGGAACTAACTTGAAATCGAGATTGGATGAAGTCGCTGTTAGGAAAGAAAAAGGCGTGGTTGAAGATGAAGTAGGTCCTTCGAACCGCAAATCCAAGGTTATGACTGCACCAAGTTATGTGGCACGAACGGTTGATAGAGATACTTTTGTTCGAGAAAATCGGAGGCAACTTCGAGGGAAAAAAAAAAAAGAAGTTATTACTATCTATGAGAAAGAAGGTGTACCCTACACCACTCTGGAACTGACCAAAGAAGTGATCGTGCAGGAGCGAGCTGCTCAGGCCTTTGAGAACGAGGATGGTAAGAAAGACAATGGTAAGAACGTTGTTGTGATTGAAGTGTCCGGAGAAGGGGATGAGTCATCGGACAAAGATGACGGGCAAGACTCTGATGTTTCTTAGGGTCTTGCCCGAACACGGCTTTCTTATAGGAATTGGTTCGACTTTGTTATAGAATTCACTCTCTTTCTGTTGAACTCCTAAGGAATAAGACTCTTAATGTTCTTTTTTGTCTCTCTATATGTGAGTTGATTCTTACCGGGGAAATTTTATGGGGAAGTAAGTTAAGTCTTTTCTTCTTCGATGCTTTTTATCGGAGGAGGTATGATGAGGATGAATGGAATGGACCTGTTGTTTATTGCTTGATTTCACCCTGGTCTAGACATTTGTACATTGGCATCACAGGAGGGGACTTGCATACACGGTGGAGGGAGCATGTTTACCGCTCATGTTGTTTGATTTCACCCTGGTCTAGACATTTGTATATTGGCAGCATGGGAAGGGACTTGCGTACATGGTGGAGGGAGCATGTTTACCGCTCATGTCGGTCAACGCTTAGTGAGGGTTGTAGGCGTAATGAGAAATTGTATAAGTGGATGCGTAGATGTGCCACACATTCCTATTCAATCATTCTGCTATGTAGATATGCTCCCGATGATTTGGAGGAAACGAAAAAATATTTTATCAGATTGTTTTCACCGGCTTTGAACACTAGGGATAAATTAAGAAGGTCAAGAAGACGAGGACCAGGTTTGCGAGAGAGGATTAAAAAGAAAAAAAAAGATTGTCTGGTGAGTTGCTCGATTGTGCCTAAGAAGAGTTATTTCGATTCTTTGCTTTGTTTCCACTCAAGTGTTGGAATTGTTTCTGGAAGTTTGCCTAAGATTTTGAAATTTTGCAGGGCGAATTCGGTTCATAAAATGGTTGTGAAGTGTGTGGGGGGAGAACGTATTATTGATCGGTGGAAGGTGCTGAAACGACTATACGGAGGTAGTCTGGTTGCATGTGTCAATGGAAGTTGTGAGTTGCGGGATGCAAGAGGATGGTTGAAGGAATTTGTTACTCTGAAGTTTGTTACGATAGTTCCTTTTTCAAGTCGATCGTTGACCTTGAAAGCTCCTCTTGCTGGTTTTCTGAGTGATCCTTCTAGTCGGCAACTTCTGAAGATTTGGGATTTGGAAGAGTTGATAGCCGCATACACAGCGGTACAAACCTTCAGTGAGAAACGCACTCGGTTTAGATTGAGATGCTTGTTATCTCAAGGAATTTTAACACGTTTTGGGTTGCATGTTCGGAAGAGATTGGTTGTACGTGTTGTTTATGATGATTTTATTTCTAAGGCTAAGATTCGACAAGTTTGTTCTATGGTTATTTCCTCTTTGGATATTTCTCAAGGGTGGAAGTTGATGCTGGTTAGGCGTATGAGGGTTGTTTGGTGTCGAAATCGAAATGTGGGTGATTTAATTCCCAACTGTCGTGATCATTCGAAATGCCCCCATGCTTTGTGCGCATGCCTTCTCTTCCACGACCTGAGGGGCATGTGGCATTTCGATTGAACGATAGTGAGTTGTTTCCTCTGTGGATGAGGAATTCGAAGAATGTGTTTTGTCCATCCAAATCTTGTTTTTTATCTACACTTCGTTCTCAGATTCTTTCGTCCTTCATGTCTCATCCTTCTCTCCCCAAGGTTGATCCCAGGTTGCTGACTAATAAGTTGATTCGAGGGTGTTTTTTTTAATCGAGTTCAGTGTTTAGTGTCAAGCTAAAAGGGCTCGTGTGTTGTCCTATTGATCATAACTTGGGTGATACGTAAGTTTGCTGCCCATTGGTTTACTAGAGTGGGATGCGGAAGGTATTCTTTGGTAATCCCTCCTTTAATTTGTGCCCTGATACGGAGGCTGAGGTTTTGCAGAAGTGCTTGGCTAAGTATACCACCTCGGGTTTACAGCAGGTATGTAAATGGAAGAAGTGTGGTGGTCTTGGGAAGGTTTATTGTATACCCAAGCACAATGACACATCACATTGACGACCTATCTGTCCATCGTACCCTGAATGCTCTGCGGTCGGAGGGAGGATGGTGTCAAGGGTGGTAAATTGCCTTCTTTGGAATCTGCCTGGTGATTCAAATCTCAATCTTCGAAGTGCTGATGGTCTTCTCAAAGAAGTGAGGAAGATTATTGCAGAATTAAAAACGGGTGATTGTTTGATCGGTGCGTCTTTCGATATTAAAAAAATGTTCTCGAATCTGCCGCATTCGTCGATCATTGATGCGTTGACTTGGATGGTTGATTTTTGGTTCGATAAAGGAATACAAAAGGTAGGTATTAGAAGACAGCGCAAGGGGGCGAAGTTATTGAAAGGGAAAGCTGAACTTGGATGGATGTGTGTTTCTCTCACAATGATTTTGGAGTTTGTCAAATTTGAACTTGATCACACCTACATCTCTGCATCTCGTCGCCTGCTTTGTCAAACTATGGGTATTTCGATGGGCAAATCGACAAGCCCGACTTTAACCTGTCTTCTCTGTTCGTATAATGAGTTTACTTTTCTTTCTAGTTTGGGTGTTGATAGGAGATTTTTTCGAGGTTTTCGGTGGCGTATCAATTTTCGATATTATTAAGAAAGGACAAGAGATGACGAGGGAAGAGCCGGAATTGATGATTGAAGAATTCGGTCAATGCTATGACAAAAATTTGGTGTTAGAAAAGACGAATAAAAACAATAGATGGGAATATCTTGGATGTATCCTTGGGGTTAGCTGCGGTGAAGCAGGAGTCGTCTGTTTTCCTACGATAAAAAATCGGAAGGGTGATGTGAATGGGAAGTTGATCTTTCAAAGTATACAAGACTTCTCGTCATTCTCTAGTGGACAATAAAAATTTGTTGTTATTGGATCTTTTCTACATCGGGCGAGATCGTATTCGTCATGTGAAGGTTTGGCCTTTCCCATGTTGTTTTCTTTGAAGTTTGAACTGTGGAAGAGGGGGTACCCAGACGAGTTCTTTGATAAGCCTCGGTGCATTTTCTAGGAAGTATGGGGGCCTATGGAGGGAATGGTTACCGACGCTGACCAGGTGGGACCGGTTTTTGGGTTGAAGCAGGGGGTCTTCGGTTTCTTTGCGCCTTCGGGGGTTCAAACTTTTGGAACCGGTTCTTGGGTTGAAGCAGGATGCTGTTTTAGTTAGTCTTACGTACGAGACTATGTTCAAATTTGGGCCTGTTTTTTGACGGGTCTCCTTTCGCAGTTTTGTAACGGCTGGTGTGCTACCGACCGTATTTGGTACGGTTTGCTGGCGAGGTTGGGTATCATTGTTTGGACTTGGCCTTTATCAGGTTTAGGTGCTGATGCGACGTTTTCAAGGGATATTACTTTCTAGAAGCTACGTTACAGTTGTTTTTTGACTACATTTTTGACCTTGGTTAAAGTGGTGGCGTCTTGATGAATTGATCCGGTAGCAGATTTTCTGAAGTAGTATATAGCCATACGACGTCATGTCCTTGTTACCTACGAAGACCCCTGATGATCCTGGTTGGCGGCCAGGTGAAACCGATAGGGTCAAACGCCATGTCGTGCTTCATGTTTACATATTTTTAATTCAAAGTCGTGTTTGGGACATGGTTGTCGTGTTCTACCCTACGGGTTCTACTCTTTCTGTCTACCATCGTCTTCTAACCTTCCTCTTCTACGTCTGATGTTGTTTGATTCACTGTCGTTTGTCTCAGTTAGTCGCGTCTGGATTGTTAACCTGGTCGTAGCCCTGCTCGACAAGTACTTGTGGTTTTTGCGCAGGAACCGGTCAGGCAAAATTGGGTACGCACATAGCTTGCCCGGGTATGTGCATAATTTGTCCATCCCGGAAGTTGGGTATAGCTGCAATTTGGTGACCCACCTGGATCCTGGGCATGCGAGTAAATTGCCCATTGCCCAGACCATTTCCTGGTTACAGATGCAAGCTGTGCACTGGGACTGGGTATAGCGGGGCCCAAGTCCCACTTGTCTGGATCCTTCACTTGTGACCGCTGATTGCAGAGATCCACGGTCCCAAATGAAGAGTCCCAGCAAGTGGGACTTGGCTCCGGGTATTTCCACCTCTACATGGGGTACAGATGCAATTTTCCCAAATTTTCCCAAAAAAAGAAGAAAGAGAGGGGTACTACCGTACGGACGCGTCGCTGTGTCGACTGGACAGGGGTATCATCGATGCGTGGTTTGCATCTGGAAGGCGGAGAGGGGGCAGAGGGAGAGGAG